ACACGCGCGCGCGACACACACACACACACACACACACACACACACACACACACACACACACACACACACACACACACACACACACACACACACACACACACACACACACACACACACACACACACACACACACATGTCTCTGTCTCTGTCTCTCTCTCTCTATCAGTCTCAATCTTGATTTCTGCTCTCTATATCTACACCGCACTCTTTACCTCACACACGGACAAAGACGGGCAAACGGACGCGCGATGTTTACTTTCTCGCTTTTAATTGTCTAATATTATTAATACACAAAACATAATTATAATAATAACACCAGAATCGCACGGTCTACTTACAATAACAATATTACGCTAATCGAGTGACTAAAGATCATTAATTTTCCTGCAGGTTCACGGTACAACGAGGAGGTCGAGTACGAATCGTGGTGGTCGGCAAACACCAAGTTAGCTTTCCTTAATCGGACGAAGTGCATTCATCAGATGTATAACGTTAGCTACAAAATCGGAGACGAATGGTACGAATTCAACGAAGGAGATAGCGCCGCTAAGCGGGACGGCCCGGGTGAAATCGGCGGATTGAGAATGGCATATCGCTCCTACAAGGAATACGTGCCGGATGAGGCGGAGAAGGAAATTGTCGGGTTGAATCTAACTCATGACCAGGGGTTCTTTGTCGGCTACGCTCAGTCGCGCTGCCAGAATCTGCCCGACGAAACGCTAATATCGTACCTAAAGAGCGGAACAGCTCCGAATGATCTCGTAGTCAAGGCAACGCTCAGACAGACGCCAGAATTCGCGCAAGCGTTCAACTGTCAGCCCGACTCGCCGATGGTCGCCGACGAAATATGTAAAGTCTTCTAAATTCTGTGATATGACATGGATAGCACCGACTAAGCATATGTGTGATTCTATTTCTATGTGTGATATATATGCTCATAGAACGTCGTGTTAATTTCAAGATCCCTGCTAAAGTTATGCTTAGCAAATAGGAAATTATTTAAGAAAATGTAAAATTACAATCGAATCAATACGTGCGTGCGGGAAATATTAAATTGATTAACTATACATAATTAAATTTTTCTGTTGTGATTCCGCGAGTTTGATTCAATCATGAAATTACTACGAATTAGTTGTTTAATGTTTTTAGTTATTGAGCATTAGGTATAATCTCGCGTGCACGATTTGATATAGCGGAAATTGTGTGTGCGTGCGTGCGTGCGTGCGTGCGCACAGGCACTTGAAACGTCTCAACAAAAAAAAGAATGGTAAATAAACACGAAATGTATTTACTACCAAAGTCTTAATGTTTCTCTACTCTATTTCTCTACTCGTGCGCGCGCGCGCGCGCGCGCGCGTGTGTGTGTGTGTGTGTGTGTGTGTGTGTGTGTGTGTGTGTGTGTGTGTGTGTGTGTGTGTGTGTGTGTGTGCAAATGCGTTTGCGTACGAATGAGTGCATGTGTACTATAATGGTTAGACAATAAAAATAAACAAAACAATAAAAACAATAACAAAAAACAATAAATCAGAATTAAGTGTCTAATTATCTGTGTCGAGTTGGCAACGTCTATGGCTATATATATATCACTATCATATATATATATATATATGTGGTGTGTGTGTGTGTGTGTGTGTGTGTGTGTGTGTGTGTGTGTGTGTGTGTGTGTGTGTGTGTGTGTGTGTGTGTGTGTGTGCGCGCGCGCTCGCAAATGCGTTTGCGTATGAAGTGTATATGTACTAAAATGTGTAAACAATAAAGCTGAATATGCCTCCGAAACAATGCTCTTCAGTTTATATCTGTAACTGTCATTTCTCAAGATTTATTCCAATGATAACGATATACGCTTTATATCATTGGTAAACATGTATATTTATTGCGGACCATAAATCCTGTACAGTGACGAATGTATCTTATCCTGGGAGAGCCGAGATGATTAAATGAATGTGCGCCAAGTAATGCGATACCAGATTGTGATTGACATGTGACTGTAAAGAAGTATATTTGCTTATCTCTTGATTCAAGTTATAGTTAAAATGAAAGAAAATAAAAAACCATGGACTATACGAGAATTCATAGCGTGTGTATTGAATTAATACAAGATCATATATATACAATTATATATATATACAATTGTAATCTTGGCAGTGATGCGATCAAATCATGCTATTTATATAATTTTGTATCCATTTACAAAATTCCCACCGTGCATAGGTGTTTAAGAACCTGTTACACATTACTACCTACTAACCAACATACGCACTGTTTGTGCCAAATATTATGCAAGTCATTTAGCTGCAGTCATAGAACGACACATGGGCCACTTTAAACGAAATTAACATATATGTATGTAATATATTCAAAGATCAGCAAATATGTCCGCATAAAATATATGTCAAATATATCTCTACATGAAATTACGCGCGGGACTCGCACGGAAGCCTACACCTTTGCACACCCTGTATTGTATACGACAATCTGTGTATATATTGACATTCTTCATAAAACCGCCTGATCGCATATAAAATGTCTAGTCGGGAGACGTGCAAACACGGCTCCGTCGCTGAGATGTGAGCAGCCGTAACTAGTCGACCATCCATAAACTAAAAATCGAGCGATAAATTCTACATCGGACACTGCTGTGACTGGTACCGTCCCACGGCGCGCTTCCCCATAAAAGTACCGGCAACCTTGGTTTTTTCTACCGGCAGAGTATAGCTGAGGTGCGGTCCCCACACGCCCGGCGTCGCATCGTTCATGATAGAACAGCAGCAGCAGCAGGCGAAAGCGTGCTGTCATTGTGCGATATAACACGGTCGCCGCAAACATGACGATATTGCGTTCGTGACGAGTGAGATCACTTGCACACGCACGCGCGCACACACACCCACACACACACGCGCTCACGCACACACGCTCGCGCACGAAAACATACACGTACACACACGCACGCACGCACACGCACGCACACGTACACATACACACACACACGCGCGCGCGCACGCATACGTACATTCGCACACACACGCACGTAGAGGGAGGCGAAACGACGCGAATCCAAGATGGCCGACACGGAGGAAATCCTCCGCGAATCGCCTAAGTACAATATGTTCTCTCGCTCGTCGCTAGGCAACAACACCGTCATGCTAGCGGCCGTCGCCGGCGTCTGCTTCGTCACGTTCCTCTGCATCATCATCGGTCTCAGCGTCGCGCTCGCCAACGCGTCAACTGACGACGCAACGAGCGTCGACTACGAGGAGTGCGTCAACGCCGACTGCCTGATGCAGGCGGCACACATGGTCGGCTACATAAACGCCAGCGTTGACCCATGCAACAGCTTCTACGAGTACGCGTGCGGCTCGTACGCCGACAGGCACCCGCTGCCTGCCGACCGCAGGTTCGTCAACGTGCGCGCGAACATGGAGAGCAAGATCGCCGACGATCTGAAGCTGATCCTCGAGTCGCCCGTGAAGGACGCGAACTTCGAGACGGAGTGGAAGGTGAAGACCATGTTCACGTCCTGCATGAACGACTACGAATCGATGAAGTCCGGTGCGGGGACGTTCTTGGGAGCCGATGGTATCATCAACAAGACGGGCGGTTGGGCGGTGCTAGCGCCGCTGGAAGACTGGGACCTCGACAACGCCCTGCAGCGATTACACGTCGACCATTGGACGAACGTATTCTTCAGATTCCAGGTTGTGCCCGACGAACAGGACTCAAAGAAAAATAGGATTTTGGTGAGATTGCTACTATTATATATATCTACTATACTATTGTAAGTTGTACTATACATGTTTTACTATACTGTAGTAATTAAAGGCATAATTCGACCATCGATTATGCAATTTTAACGAATGCTACAGTAACTGGCACCTTGTGTAGTTAATAAGTACATTACCTTATAGCCAAACGCGTATTAGTTTGTCCAATATCACTGCTGGTTACTAAGAAATGTCTAATTGAAATCCGCAGTCCAAGAAATCGGTTGTTGACAGTTACAAACCGCCATGCCGGCCGAAACCGGCCGTAACTGGCGAGGCGGTGTCATACAGATTATAGTGCACCGGACATTTTCGCACGTATGCTCGGCCGTCAGTGATTTCGATCCTTGTAGTCTGAGTGCGCATTCCGTACGTTATGGTTTTACTCTTGGGATTCGGGAATAAATGAATATACGAAGTTCTTGAGATTACA